GTTTTATAAATTTATTTTATAAACTTGTTTTATAAACTCGTTTTATACATTTATTTTATAAACTTGTTTTATAAACTTGTTTTTAAGCTGTTGTCCAGAGGAGCTGACCGCACTATGTTGGATTTAGATTACTGAGCATGAATGAGGATAAAAGTGCTGATGATGTTGGTGTTGGCTTTGTGCTCTCTTAACGTGCACGCTGCTCCTGTGCCTGCAGCCCTGAGCTGTAACGAGAACGACGGTGAGTCCATGGACCGGGACTCTCAGTACAGCTCCAGTCAGAAGACCAAACGCATGCGGACGTCCTTCAAGCATCACCAGCTGAGGACAATGAAGTCCTACTTCGCCATCAACCACAACCCCGACGCCAAGGACCTCAAGCAGCTCGCGCAGAAGACCGGCCTCACCAAGCGGGTCCTACAGGTAAGGACCGTGATGCTCTTCTTTTTATTTATTTTTTACTAAATTAAATCTGTCTGTTTTGCCCATGAATACATATTTTTCTTCTTAATTTCACAATTTTTAAGTCAAAAATGTTCCCTTAAAAAGTGCTTATTATGTAGTGGATTAATGAAAGTTGAATAAACAAAGAGTTAAACATCCACAGTTTCATCCAACAAACTGCTTCAGTTCAGCAGAACGTTAAATGTTTGTTGAGTCGGACTGTCACTCATGAAATCTATTAAAGCCCGTGGGTTTCATGTGAGTGTAAAGAAGCTGGTCTCTGTTTTGTAAATGAAGTATTTGACATATGAACTTTAGAAAATTGACACTATAATGTATTAATAATAATAAAAAAACATGTATTTTATTACAACTTTGTGATATTCAGTGTTATTATGTCAAAATTTACTTTTTTACAAGAAATATTTCAGCTAGAGTTTTTTCCAAAACAGGCATGTTTTTATTTATTTATTTTTATAGTAAGGGCGGCACGGAGGATCAGTTGGTAGAGCTGTTGCCTCTCAGTGAGAAGGTCGCCGGTTCAAATCCCAGCCCGAGACCTTTCTAGCTGGAGTTTACAGGTTCTCTCCATGCTGAATGGGTTTTCTCCAAGTACTCTGGTTTACTCCCACAGACCAAAAACATGCATGTTAGACTGATTGGTAACTCTAAAGTGGCCCTAGGTGAGAGAGTGAATGGTTGTTTGTCTCATTTGTCTCTATGTGTCCCTGTGATGGACTTGAGACCTGTGCAGGGTGTCCCCCGCCTCTCGCACAGTGACTGCTGGACATGGGCACCAGTGACCCCCGTGACCCAAAAAGGGAAAAGTGGGAAAAATAATGGATGGATATTTGTAGCAGAGTTTTTGTTCTCACACGTTGCTTCAAAGAGGCAAACTCTTGCTCTGTCGGCGTGTTTTCATGAGGACGAGTTAGCTAACGTTAGCACGCTCTTTGTTGTTTTCACTTTTTGTTGCAGTAGCGGTCCATCATGAGCCGATGAAACTAACTGAAAGGTGGCGGCTTGGATACAAAACTGTGGTTTCTTAGTGGTAAAAGCCCTGCATATATATATATATATATATATATATATATTTGCCTCAGCTCTGTAATATGCAAAAAAAAAATTCCCTTCAGTTCATCTAGATAGTTAACGCTACTTAAATAATAAACAATAATAAATATGGTTTCAGCTGTTGTTGTCATCAAAAGCTAAAAACAAAATGCAAATAAGTACAAATAAATGTTCTGATTTCAATTATTATTAATAAAACACAATAAAGAAACAAAATCTACTTTACAAACTGTGAAGTGGAACCATTTGATCCTAATGTAAAGTGAATGTATATTTGTGTTTTAATGAAGAACGTAAAGGTTGTGGTTTCGATGTGATGTGAAGAGAGGAATAAAAGAAAATACCCTTTAATATGTGGAAAAACAGAACAACTGTTTGATTTCCATCAATAAGAAGAGAAAAACTGTATATTATCTGGAGAATTGAGACGAAAAATGAGACAATAGCTTTGTGAATAAAGAAACAGTGACAAAGACGAAACATGGAAGCGTTCTGCTGCTTTAATTAACGCTTGCAGGAAACAAAGCAGGCGTTTTGCTTTGATGCGTTTCAGTCTCGCTGCCTGTTATTCCAGCTGAAGAGCCTCTCCTGTCATTCGTTTCCCAGGGCTCCGTCAGGAAGCCGTCTAACATGCTCCAACTCTCGGCTCGGCTCGTAACGCCTTCTCACTCAATTTGCAGATCACACGTGCAGCTTTCATTCCTCTGGAATGGAGCGGAAATAAACGGTCATCGGGGATGCTGAGGAGGCTGACACGGGTTCTAACACTCAGCTGCCGGCCGTTCCTGAGCAGGTTCCCTCAGCAGTACCTAGAAATGAGGAGGAAGACACTCTTCTTAATGGAAACATAAGAATAATGCTTTAACTCACAGCTACACACACACACACACACACACACACAGTCCATCCATCCATTTTCTTTACCCGCTTATTCCATTTTGGGTCACGGGGGTCGCCGGTGCCCATGTCCAGCAATCACTGTGCGATGGGCGGGTACACCCTGGACGGGTCGCAAGTCCATCACAGAGACACATAGAGACAAACGAGACAAACAACCATTCACTCTCTCACTCACACCTAGGGACAATTTAGAGTTACCAATCATCCTAACATGCATGTTTTTGGTCTGTGGGAGGAAACCGGAGTACCCGGAGAAAACCCACGCATGCACGGAGAGAACATGCAAACTCCACCCAGAAAGACCCCTGGACCGGGGTTTGAACCAGGGACCTGCTCGCTGAGAGGCAGCAGCTCTACCAGTTGTGCCACCATGCTGCCTCACACACAGTAAATAAGTCAATTAGAATCTCCTCCCACCAGCCACAGATACAGGAAGTGATGTTCTTGTGCAAACAGGAAAGTACAGCCTGAATATTTTTCTTGGTGCCTTGCTTATAAAGATGTCAGGGTCTGTCAGAGTTTTGTCCACAGTAAGGCGGTGCAGCCTGGCGTTGTGTTTTTAAGCATCACTTTAATCCCAGAATCCAGTCAGAGCGTCTGCAAACGGACTTTCCAAAGACTCAGAGAGCAGCTGGCTGATGGGAGCAGTCAGGGAGAAGGTGGGGGCTCTGGTGAAATTTGTACGAACTCAAGTGTTCTAGCTTTGCTTCACAAATACCATTGAAAGCCTTGTCTGTAACTTTAGATGTAAAAAGCCTCGGTTCTGGGTGTTGAAGTTTTGGACGTGAAATAACAAAGATCTCAGTTTAATGATGACTTGTAGATGATTCGTTTGGATGCTGAGTGATGGCAGCATGCGCATGTGACGTGTCAGCTCCCCGCCAAGCACACAGCACATGAGCATGGTTTCACACCAACACCAGGGGGAGTGGTGGTGCAGAGGTTAAAGAAGGCAAGCCTGTGGTAGGAACGTTGTCGGTTCAACTCCCCAAACCAACATCAAAATGTAGGTGGGAATGGTGAAGCACCCACACCTGCCTCCACCCTCATTTGGCCTGCTTTGGGCCCTTGAGCAAAGCCCTTAACCCCCACCATCTGCTCCCCCAGGCGCCCTAGTTGTCAGCTCTCTGCTCCACACAGAGGCTGTGGTAGCTCGGTGCTCTGTGGTTGGGTCAGGATGGACATCGGGCATAAAAACAGTTTCCAAGTCTCGGTGCGAGTTAGTTCTTTGTGGTGACCCCTGAGGAAGGAGCAGCCGAAAGAAGAAAAAATCCCACTGACATCAACGTTCACCTAACACCATCCATGGATTTCGTCTCTTGTTGTTCTAGATCAGCGGCTAATGCACACGAGCTCTGATGGGAGCACTTGGGCTGAAGTGGAGTCAAAACACTGGGAGTTAGGCACCTCACCATTGGATTACAGTTCAGAAGGCTGTAATGTGCAGTTATGGACGCATCTCATTGTACTTCAAACATAAAGGGCGGCTGTGGCCGAGTGGTTAGAGCAGTCATCCTCCAGTGCAAGAGTTGGGGGTTCAATTCCACCAGCAGTTACATGCCAAAGTGTCCATGGACAAAACACTGAAACCGCCCACCATAGCCTCTGATGTGTGTCCCATCATGTCTGAATGTGATAAAGCTCTGATTAGTCTCTTTACAATGATTTGTTCAATTAGCTTTGTACAGATCTAGTATAGAGCTGTATGAATGGGTAAATGAGGCACAGATTGTTGTAAAGAGTTTTGAGTGTCTTGATATATAAGCACAAAAAAACAAAAAAACTCCAAAGCAGGATATCTCTTAGACCTAAAGGAAAAATCATTTGAGCTGCTGTTTCCATGAAGCCATGATTTGAGGAACTGAGTGAACAAACGGAGTCAAACTGCAGACTCTGAAGACGTGCGACCCCCTGCGATGTCCACCCATCACCTGAGACCTGCTTTCTTCAGTGTTACCACCACTTTGTTTTGGTCCTGGTGGTTAATCAAGTGTGGCTCCAAAGTGTGAAACATTGGCACACACATTCTGCTTTTAGACACTGAATCCAGATTAAATACTTTGCAGCAGCTGGATTTGGTCATTTGCTTTGCTTTTTCCAAGGGAGGTAGAAACTTTGATGTTGATCCCTCGTCGGTCAGAGGCGACCTCTGGCTGTTGTTTCATGTTGTCATTGGGGGAAAAACCGGTACATAACTTGGCTGTAGTGTGGCTTTAGTCAACATACATGTTCTCCTTAATTTTCAAGTAGCTAAAGTTTTTCCAAACACTGGAGTTCAGTGTAGAACGTGTACTCCTCAGTCAGACGTCTGTTAATTCAGGCGTGGACAACTTTTATTTTTCCAGAGCGTCAAATCAAGTTGTTTCAAGCGATCAAAGGTTACTTAGATAACTGGAAAATCATTTTTCTGTAAAACAGATAAATACTTTTTTCAGGCTTCTTGTCGTTTTATGACATGTGTGATAAAATATGTCTCTAATACTTTTTAATAATATAAGACATACTTTTTGTAAACTTGTATATGTGGCATGTGGCAATCAATTTCTTATCCTGAATATACTTCCCTCCAAAATAAATAGTATAAATAAACAAGTAAACAAACAAACAAATAAATAAATACATGCATACATACATACATAAAATAAAAAGTTATATTTTTGTTTGCTGGAGTCTGTAAGAAACCAGTGACTTTAAAAAAAAAAGGTCTATCCTGTCCTAATTAAAAAAGGTTTTTCATTTATTTTTCCCAGATGTTTAACTTAGACTTAAGTTTCATTGATAAAATGCAGGTTTATTTATAAGTTGTTGTTTTTTTTCAGTTAAGCAAAATGCTGGTGAAGGATGGAGGTCAGGGACAACATTGCTCCCTCCACTTACCAGGATCGTCACTCTGTGCTGCCGCGAATAAGAAAAAAGAAATCCTACGTCTTTTCTTCTCCACGGTGTAACATCTACCAACTTGAATATTTTGCACAATAAACATTGTTTACATGCACTCGTGTTCAGTTCCAGTCCAGAAAAACACTTATCTCAAAAACTACAACCTTTCCCTATCACTCAGCGACAGGGACAGTGGTTTACAACTTGATATTTTCCAAGTCCACAGCAGATTTCTTTTCCCTGTTGTGACGTGACTCTTGGAGCGGTAACACCACGGCTCAATTTGAACCGGATCCTGTTGGAACAAGATCTGGGAACTCCCTTATTTTGACAGGGTGCGTTCCGGCAACTGTTTTCTTGGATCTGGCAACTCTCAGCCTTACTAATAATAAAGTTATGAACAAACATGACTGCCTTGTCATTTGGGGAGCCATGCTTGAACCGTGCCGCGCCCCTCTGCTGCTGAGACGATGAATAAATAACTCGGACACCTCCTCCGCTGCTGTTTTGATGACGCTCTAGACGCTTGTCACCCACAGCACACATGCAACAAAGAGTAAAAAGTCAAAGCCAGAGTGACACCTGCCCTCTCTTTCCTCTTTCACGTTGACAAAAAGTTTTAGTTTTATCGATGAATTTGTCAAAGAACAATTTTGATGTTTTGGTTTTTTTTGTAAATACAGAAGTAATGTTTAATAAATGTTATGACTCTTTTCTTTGCTAAGAATATATTTAAAGTCATTAAACAACTTGTCAGGTTCTTGTCTTGTGCACGTTCCCCAGGACCCCCACCCCACCCCCCACCCACACAGCCAATCCACCTGCTATTTGCATTCTGGATCGATTGGTTTACAAATTAAGCCCTGGGTAACATATTCCTGCACAGTGTTCCAGTCAAAAAAGCATGAGCACGGGAAGGTTGTACTCCCAATGCTCGGAGTTTAGACTGGAGGAGTGGTTAAAAGACTTTCTTGTGGAATTTGTATTTATGTGGCACTGAAAACAAGCTGCTTGCACAATAAAGGACAGATGCAACTTTCCAGAAGAATGCAGAGCACAGTGTAATTTTTATTAGAAGCGTGTTTAAGAAAGAGACTTTGACAATATTTTATGGATTGCAGTATATAGATCAATATGTGCCTTCACAGCTCCAGTTTCAGGTGAATTTGGCTGAAACAAACCTTCAAAAGCTTTTGTGCCTTTTTAAAGTCCTGTTATTGTCAGTTTTATACAGTGGTGTCCTACGTGTGTAACACTGTATGGTTTGGTTTATTGTCTTTGCAGGTCTGGTTCCAAAATGCCCGAGCCAAGTTCAGGAGGAACCTGCTGCGGCAAGAAAACACGGGGGTGGACAAAGCGTCTGACGGCTCCACGATGCAAGGTGGGACGCCCTCAGGCCCTGCTTCTGAGATCTCCAATGCCTCCATGAGCCCCTCCAGCACCCCCACCACCCTGACAGACTTGACAAACCCCTCCATGCCCACAGTCACCTCTGTACTCACCTCAGTGCCGGGTGGCATGGATGTCCACGAGTGTCGTAGCCCATCACAGACCACACTGACCAGCCTCTTCTGATGGTCGGAGCACTAACCCCTCCCCTACTTTCCGTCAAACACACACACACACACACACCCCTCCTCCAACACACACACTTCTTTCATCCCTGGCCCTCTTCCGGATCTAAAACTGAGCACTGTTAACACATCCAGACTTTAAACAGATTAGTTAAAAGAAGGAAACAAGCAGAAAAGAATCCTAGAGACGATCTGCAGCGTGAGGAGGCTGAGCCTCACAGATGGAACAGTTCTTATTTTGATGTTGTCTTGTTGAGAACTTAGGAGACCTGGTTTGCATTTTTTATGTTTACAGAGAAAGACTGGAGAAAAGAAATACTTAATTTTTGGGGGAAGTGTTGTTTTTTTTTTCCCCAGCACAGTATTTATGTTGTTGTACACGAGTCACTGTTAGCAGGATGTAAGAAAAGGTTTTTATTTTTTTTTTTTTTGCTTGTTTTTTTTTTAAATCTGAAATTAAACACAACTTAAAATACCTACGACTTTCAAGTCTCATTATCTCATCAGCTGTGGTTGAAAGTTGATCAAATTCAATAATTTGAATCGAAGAGATCAGGATTTTAATGTGTGATGTGTCTACAGTGAAACTTTGACTCATATATAAGTTATATAAAAAGTCTGATCATAGATTTTACTTTACATTCTTAGTTAAATATTACATATGAAAGCTTAAGAATCATCACAGTAAAACACAAATGACTGGATTTATAAAATCAAGACGACGTATGGGGCGGTATGGTAGTTCAGTTAGTAGAGCCGTTGCCTCTCAGCGAGAAAGCCGCCGGTTCAAATCCTGGCTGGGGGCCTTTCTGGGTGGAGTTTGCATGTTCTCTCCGTGCATGCGTGGGTTTTCTCCGGGTACTCCAGTTTCCTCCCACAGACCAAAAACATGCATGTTAGACTGATTGGTAACTCTAAATTGTACCTAGGTGAGAGTGAGAGAGTGAATGGTTGTTTGTCTCTATGTGTCCCTGTGATGGACTGGAGACCTGTCCAGTATGTCCCCCGCCTCTCGCACAGTGACTGCTGGATATGGACACCAGTGATGGCCACGACCCGAAAATGAAGAAGCGGGTAAAGGAAATGGATGAAAGAACATGTTTGCAAAATTTTGTCTTCTAAATGCATTCCTTGAAAAACCTCTGACTTCTAACATACACATAAAACTAATCATCACCAAACCCAGTGAATAAGAGTCAGACATTCTTTAATGTCGTTAGCACCTCATGTGGTACATGTGGTGGAGCGAAATTATGTACACAGGGTCCCAGTTACATCCAACAATAAAATGTAAAAGAAAAACTGTAATAAGATCTAAGATATGAACTAAGAAAAACATCAACTAAATATACACTAAGCACTCATAACATAAAAACAATAAACACAATACGCCGAACACCAGCACGAACATGAGTCTGTGTGAGCAGATGAGCGCGCATGAACACATCAACAGATGTGATCAGCAGCAACATGAAACAGATCAGCAGCAACATGAAACAGATCAGCAGCAACACAATGCGATTTTTTCACAGTGATTATTCTAGTTAGAGATTCATGAGTCTAAAAGCCTCAGGGTAGAAGCTGTTCCTCAGTCTAGTGGTTCTACACTTAATGCTCCTCAACCTCCTTCATGAGGGGAGTGGGGCAAAAGTGTGTGTGTTGGGTGAGTGAGGTCCTTCATGATGCAGGTGCTCTCTTCCTGCATCTGGAGGTGTAAATGTCTGTGATGGCAGAGAGACAGACTCCAACATCTTCTGTGCAGCCTTCACCACTCTCTGCAAAGCTTTTCTTTCTGCAGCTGTGCAGCCTCCATGCCACACATTGATGCTGGAGCACAGGATGCTCTCCACTGCACACCTGTAGAAGGAGGTGAGGACTGAGCTTCCCAGACCAGCTCGTCTCAGCCGTCTGAGGAAGTAGAGTCTCTGATGAGCTTTCTTCATCAGGCTGGAAGTGTTGTTGCTCCAGCTGAGGTTGTCATTCATGTGTACACCCAAGTACTTGTAGCTGGAGACCACTTCCACCGCAGATCCTCTTATGTTATAAAACAATAACTTTTAGAATTTAAATGTGATATTATTCTGTTCTGGTCAGGAAAATGCACATATAACCTTCAACTGAAGTGGAAATCCCTGTTAGGCTGAGTATTATTACTAATTCTTGTTAAATGTATAATACGGTCATTTTTGAAGTGATGTTCAGTCAAATAGTTATTATGGATTAGTACCTTGTTATCAGTTATCTGTCATTGAAAATGGAGTATGAAGAAAAGAGCAGTAGTCTTCCTCCAGAATAGGCTAATGGATAGCCAAATGGTTGCTAGATTTTATTATTTTTCAGATGTTCTAAAACAACTCTTTCTAATAAAACTCATACACTACAAGACACTACCATAGCTAATAATACATTTGACATTGGGGTAACTTGTTTATTTTTAATTTGCTGCTATTTTCTCAACTGAACATCATCAGTGTTACTGGGTGAATGTCAACCTCCTGTAGCTAGACATGTTTATATATATATATATATATATATATATATATATATATATATATATAT